TTTATTCCATATTAATTAATTAATTTGGAGAATAAAATTCCTACTAGAATCTTCTCATGGGATTAGGAGACTTGGGAGTCTTCTAGAAGATGGAGATTAGTAGGAAATATATTTCCTACATTATATTATTAATTGATGTAAAATTAGGCTTCCTAAATTAGGAATTAATTCTATTCCATGGTTATTAATTTAATTAGGAAAGATATTCCTACAAGGATCTTCTCTAGTGTTAGGAGACTTAGGAGTCTTCTAGAAGGAGTAGATTAGTAGGATATTTTCTTCCTACATTAAATTAGTATTGGAGTAGAATTAGGATTCCTAGGCCTAATGGAATAAGCCCATATTTAGCACCTCCTTAAAGTCTCTAATGGAGCCTATAAATACACCATGTCCCAACCTCTCCTACATGTTATGTTGGCCCATTTTTCTCATCTACATACACGCGAGAAATAGCATCTTTCGAGAGTTAGGGAGATTCGATTAAACGCTCCACCAAGTTTAATCGAAGTAGGTGTTTAGGTAATCCGTTAGAAGGCTTTTGGGTACAATTTATTCGAGCCTTTATACATATATATTTCCGGCCACTTTCCCCATCCGACCGCCGCCGTCCACCGCCGTCCACCGCCGCCGGAAATTGCTATCGTCGCCGAAAGTCAGCCGAGCCAAGTCGATCGCCACCGCAAGCCGTTGCTCGCAGTCGCGCCCAGCAAGGCCCATCACCGAACTCCCAGCACGACCGCAAGCGATGCCCGCGAGTTCCCAGCGACGCCCGCGAGTTCCCAGCGATGCCCCACTCCATTGCGAGTCGCGCCTAGCGTCCCAGTCGTGTTCTCCGTTCGCGATCTTCTCCTGTCGCACGTCCGCGATCGAGCGAGATCCCGTCGTCCCCAGCGCGCCAATGCAACGCGCGCGACCATCCGCGAACGCCCTGCTGCCTTGCTCCGCACGCCGCGTGTTCCCAGACTGATGACGGATCGTGTTGTTATCTATACGGGTTGTGAACAAACGGCGCACTCAGGGCCTTCGTTTATCCACGATAGGTGTATCTAACAGACGCACTACGACCTTCTCCTAGATACCGTGACTTCAAGACGCTCAAATGGCCTTCTCTCCGACACTGTATGTAAACACGCACTAACGGCCTTGTTTAAACACACGTTAAGAACATCAGTTCCCCCTCAAGATTGGCTCACCAATTCAATACTCAATTCAACATGTAAAATATGATGAGGTACATTAGGTATTTATAGTTGCAAAAATAAATCTAAGCCTAACTATACTAGATCTCCTAAATC